GAGCGCAGCACAGCGGCAGACGCACTCGCGTGGCCGGGCCCCGGGTAGCCGCGCTGCAGCCTCCAGGCTCTCCCGCTAGCCCGCGGCCTTTCCGCCGCGGTCCCCGAGCGGTACCCACCTCTGCGCCGCTGTGTTGGCGTCCAGCACCCCGGCGCCCTGCATCCACGTCCGCACCGCGTTCATGCCGCTGCCCAGCGGCTCTTCCTTCATACTGCTTCCACTCCGTTGGATGCTTTCCTGGATCCCAAACATGAAAACAACCTTTTCTTGTGGAAAATCTCCTCCCCTTTGAAAATATTGAAAAAAAAAAAGGAAGAAAAACGCCAACCACAGATTTTTTTTTCTTTTTTGAGTCGATGAAACTCGCGCTACATCAAGGCGGCGGGCTGAAAAGCAAAATTTTTAAAAATGTAAACCTTCGCTCAAAACTGAGCGATAACAAGGGGGGGTTGAAGAAAAAAAAAGAAAGGGAAAATCCAACGAAAAGACCAAAATTAAGAAAAAAAATAGAGATGTATGCTTGGCTGTTGGGGGTTGTTTGGTTGGTTGATTTTGAGTTTGGGTGCTTTTTTTCCTTTTTTTTTTTTTTTTGTTTTTTTTTTGTAGTATTAACAGGCCGTTGGAGTACAGGAGGGGCTGGAGTTTCCTTTTGTAGAGGTACCTTCACTTGAAGAAGCAGGAAGAAAAAAACCACCCTGATGACAATTTAAGAAACAATAGATAGGACTCTCGAAGCCGGCTTGGCTACTTGAAGTGTCATTTTCCACAATCAGGCAAGTTTTTTTTTCCTCTCTCTTTTTTTTTTCCTCCTCTCTCAACCAAAGATGTTTCTTTCCTTTCCGTGCTTGTAGATGAGGACGCTGGTTGCTGTAGACAGATACACCGGAGAGGGTGGGGGGAAGGGGAGAGAGAGGGAAAGAGGAAGGGGGGGAGGGAAAGAGATAGAAAGAGAGAGGAGAGGGAGAAAGAGAGGGGTGGACCCTGCTGGATGGAGATTCTGTTTTCTCCTTGCTAAAATAGAAGTGATTTGCAGGCTCTCCCTGTGGAATCCAGTTTGACTCTCCCCAGAGCTAAACACAGGCACACTAACCCCAAAGGGAAAGAGGCGGGGCCCTCGCTGTCTGGCCACGCCCCTTCTTTGCATAACGTCATCCTTCCGCCTTACCGCAGCCAATCGTAGCTCCCGAGCTGCCTGTTCACAGAGCCTGGCCACACTCCCTCATTAACATCCTTCTCCGGGTGGCGCAGGGGAGTCGCCAAAGTTCCCGGCAAAGTGGCGAGCGAGGGAGCACTGTGCACCGACTTCTAGTCTGGGAAGGAGCGGGGCCGGGACCCTGAGGAGCGAGAAAGGGGGCAGAGGGAAGCAGATGGAGATATCCTTCTCAGGGATCTGGGCTGAGAGGGTCTGCACCACGGCGGTCTGCGTCTCCCTGGGCAGACACCTGGTCCCTTGCTGCTCCGCTGTCCTGCTCCAGGGGCAAAAGTGAAGGAAACAGGACTGACAAGGCAGAAAAGGCAGGATGCGCATCCCAGGTGCCCAGTTCTTCACTTTGAAGCAATGGAGGGATGGAATTTGTGTGCGCGAGATTGAGGCTTGAAGGCCCGCGGAAGGACACTGTCTCCGTATCAGGAGCGGTAGAGGAGCCCAAAGCCCCAACAAATGAGGCTTTAGCAGATCTCTGGGGTGTAGGGGGATCCCGACTCGGTCTTCAGCCTGCCTCTGAAATGACTCTGGTTCTGGTGCTGGGCTATGTTCTTACTCTCCAGGTTTCTCCAGCAGCACCCCAACCCCGAGATGTGCGAATGGTAGAAAGAATGGGACGCTGGGGCTGTGGCAGAGCATGACTCTAAATATCCTCATATTCAATCTTTATTTTTTTTCTTTATCAAAGCAGAAAGGATGTTGCCTTCTCTGATTAGCTGATTATTGGACACACAGGGTTCTTTCTGTGAAAAGGGAAGGCAGCTTGAGTCAATTTTAGTCACAACCACAAGAAGAGGGACTAAGAAATAGAGGAGAGAGGTGGGGGTGGGGGGAGGAGAAGGAGGAAGTGGAGTCGGTAGAAAAATACAAGTGGGGAAAGGAAGGAAACAAAAAAGAAGAGAAAGAGGAAGGAAAGGTAACTTGCCTTCCACCTCAAGCCTTTTGGCCTTTGTGTTGTGGCTGGGGAGGAAATAGATAGACGGTTACCGGGTAATGTGCCCGCCCCATCATTTTTTTTTTCTCAAGATTGCAAAGTCGAATAAGCTCGTGGTAAACTGTATCATTAGCCTCAGAGAACATCTCTGGGTGCATCCAAATCTGCTTAGGGCTGCTTGGGGGAATTCTTTGCCCAAAATCCAGGTTCCCTTTCTGCTGGCCTTCCTAGGCCATCTGATTTAGAAAATGTATTGGGGTCAGCAATGGAAAAGTACACGTCTCTGTTGAATGAAAGCATTAAGACAAGGCAAGGGTTGGGCTTTGTGGTTATGGCGGAGGAGGAGAGTGGAGCCCTTTCGTGATGAAAGAGTGAGTTTAGTCCAGGTTCACGCGTGGCCACTGTCCTCAGACCCAACTTTATCTCCCTTCTAGCTCTCAGAGGATTTGTCTGGACCATACATATGCTGGGACAGTTCTTTCTGGTGCCATAATTAATGTGTCTCCTCCAAGAGATCCCTGCAGAGATCATCTGACCCATGAAGGTATCCCCATAGCATCTGCCAGAGTTTCTGGAACACAGCTGGTGCTGAGCGTGTGTGTGTGTGTGTGTGTGTGTGTGTGTGTGTGTGTGTGTGTGTGTGTGTAAAAAGATGGTAAGGGCTACATGGTTGTAGACAGTCGTACCTTCTCCATCTCTGGAGAATTTAGATGCACAATTGAATCTGGGCCTATTAAACTTTTTCCCAAGTTGCAAGCCCAAGAGCCTGTTAGCTTACAGAGTCCACAGAACCAGTCCCTTTCCTTCTCTAAGTTTGGGGGGGGGGCGTTACTTCAATGTAGGGGCATCACAAAGCAGGAGCCACCCACCAACAATGGGTCCCAGGAAGCCCTAACCTAAGACTCAGGCCTTTCTCTCTTTAACGGATCCACATTACTCTTCAGTAATCAAGCCATTTAAAGTTGTGTGTAACCGAGTATGTATCCCAGTGATGTGGAGCACACAGTCAGGAAAAACTCACTGCCTGGAACAGAAGAGGCAGTCACACTGAGGTCTGTGATTAGTAGGGATCACAGAGAACACAGACCTCTAGAAGCCATCTACAACAGACCCTGGTGTGAGTATTGAGTAAGCACATGAAACCCACTGTCCCCAACTGGCACAGAGAATGGTATCTTTAGCATCCCTATTATCTGGGAACTAACTACAAAAGAAGCAATTTTCACATCCATCCACCGAGCCAGAGGAGAAGAAGAATGCAAAGAGAGGGGCTCTAGCATCTCTTCCCCTTTGGCGGGGACAGACATCAGGCACCTCACCTGGGTGATGGGCATTCTTTATTTTCATTAAGCCAGACAGAGTACATGTGTAGGTGTTTATCTGGATGTTTTGCACTTTTAACATGGCTTTTGCGTCTGGTAGTAAATGTTTAAGAAGGAGCAGGCTAGAGAGAACGTGGAAAAGAGAGGGTGACAGAAAACTAAGAAGGACACCCAGGACCACAGAGTGTGTCATACATAGACCGTGTGTGTGTGTGTGTGTGTGTGTGTGTGTGTGTGTGTGTGTGTGTGTGATGGAGAGTCATACTTGTTGAACATTGAGATTCACAGGCCTCATTCACAGCTGCAGATTTTAGAGAGCCCCTGGCTTTGGTACGTAGGAATTTATAAGTAAAGGTGGTAATTCTTGGCTGCTCTCTCTCATCTCTGAGTGAAAAACCAAAGGAGAGGGAAGCGGTGAGAGGGGAAAGATTGAACGAGGAGAGAACACAATCGGTTTCTCAGGAGTCATTACAGAGGAGTGTGTTTCTTCTGGCCCATTGGTTCCGCATTGAACTTTTGGCAGTTTCTCCAGTCTTCTTCAGGACGGTCAGAGTCATGGACCGCCCCTCAGAGGGTCTTCACTGCCAGACAGGGCTGCCCAGCTTTGGGGATTCTCGGGGTGCCAGAGGAAGTTGAGGCCAGGTCACAAGAAGTCCCTCCCCCTGCACCCGTCAAGCACGACTTCTCACACCAAACGTCAGTAAACTCAGATTCTCTCTCTTGGGGCGCATCAAATGACAGCATAGCTTCTAGGGGCTCGGGTAGAAATCAGCTCCCCGGCTCGCCCTTCAGTAAAAAGACCCCTCCTTAAATTCAATGGAACTGGGACCAGGGGGAACATCCCGGGGAAAGAGGGGGATGGCTTTTGCTCGCCTGCCCCCAGGAGGCCAGGCTTGGGACTTGTCTCTAAGGGGTCCTACTGTCCTCTTTCTAAAGACTCCCGCCCCCAGGACCAACAGTCCAGGGGAAGTAACCCCTCACCTTTCTTAGTTTCCTGGCCAGAGGCAGCTTCGACCTCTAGTGGGAGGACAGGCGCTTCCTTCAAAGCTGGGAGGAACGGGAAGTGGGGAAGCAGGCGACAAAGCAGCGAGGCTCAAAGGCCCTATTGCCTGCTGCACGCTCCCGGGGAGTCGCGGGATCACTAGGCTTCTGAGACGCGTGACAGGGACGGGCAGTGGCCAGAGCGTCCTAAGGGGTGGAGGACACCCAACAGAGTTGGTAGAGACCTTGAGCCCTGGGAAAGTGAGGCGAGGCGGAGGAAAAGGAGGATGCAGGTGAAGGTGGCCGGACACTGAGACACACGCACCCACTAAAGCCTGGCCTGTCCCCGGGTGACATTTATCCACCGCTACGGGGAGCGTGAGAGCCACAGGACGGAGCGCCACCGGAAATCCGGACTCTGATCAGGGCTCGCGACCTCGTAGCGCTCCGGAAAAGTCCCCCCTTGCTCATCCAGTCCCTGTCCCTGGGATCACCTTTCTCCTCTTGGTACCAACTAGAACAACAAGAACTGAGGGAAAGAATGATAGCCGCTCGCAGGAGGTAGAGGCGGAATAAACAATCTCCTAGGCTCTGATAGGATCAGGAGTGGCGGGGCTCCTAGAAACTGTCTGCTCCCCGACCGTTCTGCGGCCTCTCTCGGGTTTCCCCCGGGATCGTCCCAGACAATAAATAGATCCCATTTGTTGTTGGGTTTACCGGGCATGAGATTATTCAATTTCCACCACAGGCCACTCCCATTGTACAGGTGAGAAAACTGAGGGGTCGTGAGGGAAGTGGAAAAAACCTTGTGCCACCTCCCCCGATCCCCACCCCATCACACCGCTAATAAAGCTACTAGGTCACTGTCCCCAGCCTGGTGCTGGTGCTGTTACTCTTGGAGCCAAACCTCCACCAGGCAGAAGCACAGACCCTCTACCCAACACCACCCAAACCCCGGTGGCAGAAAAAAGAGAGAGGGCACATGCCATCTTAAGGGCAAACCGCACAATTTTTTTTTGGAAAAATCTTAATGAATATGAACATTTGAAAACACGTCTGCGCTATAATGTGTAAGTGTGCTTCGAGTCTCCCAACCCTACCCGGACAGGGCTCCCCAGGGAAGACCAACTCCAGCCCCACCTGGGTCACATCATCTCACCCTGCCCCAGCTGAGGTCTAAACTCTGGGAAGCTTGATTAAGTGCAAAACTTCGCTGCAACTACTGATGTCCACAATGCCCATTACAGGACAGGCGTCTGGACCCCGGCCTGAGCTTTCATGGGGGAAAAGATGCTTCTGTCTTGGCCCGAACATAGATGCCTAAAACCCCAGGTCATTCTGAGCTGGGAGAAAAGAGTCGGTGAAGTCCCATAAAAAGAACCCTAGTCTGCGCTGCCTTCAAAGCTGGTACTCTGCCTTAAGAATTTTCCCTATCAGCCTGAGAGACTACACCGGGCTCCCTCCACACACCGGGGTACAAGGATGTTGTTAGAAGGGAACTCTCCAGCAGTTTATAATTTACCATTACTTAACGTTTAAAATACAAACTGCGGTGGAAAGGGGGAAGGGGGGGGCTGTAAGATTTAAGAGAGAGGTGGGCCTGTTTCAAACCCTAAAGGAAAGCTGCGAAAGGAAAAGCGCGTTTGGCAAACGCTCTTTTATATCAAGAGCTCAAAATATCCAAGAGACAAAAAGTTTGTATTCTCGTTTCTTTGATGACTTCCCGGGTATTTGTGCTCTTCCTGGTCCTCGTTGCTACCTTTGTTTAAGATGCCCGTGATGTGAATGTGCAGACAGGTTTCCATCAGCGACGGACGGCTGCGTATTTGTAGTCCTATACAGTGCAGCAGAGGTGCTGAAAAGTGACAGGGCACTGTTGGCTCCGTGTGAGCACTTCCGCTCGACTGCGGTGCCACGGACAGGTGCACCTCTATCAAGAGTGTGTATGAGTGTCATGTGTAGATATGTTTTGTGTGAGTATGGTGTGCAAGTCCGTGTGTGCGAGCATGATCATAAGTATAAGCCCGAATTCACACGTGTTTCATGTGTGCACTTGTGTGTGTTAAATGCAGTAAAGACATCCTAAAAATCTAAGTCCCACTGCGCGAAAGCACCAAGCTGGGTGGAAACCAAGGTGTCAAGGGAAGCGGTGAGACTGAAGGTCTCTTGGCCTTACGGGTAGGAAGGAACCTGCTGAATGCGTGCAGGGCATGACCACAGGCCGGGAATGAGCGCCCAGCTCAGCTCCCTGCAGACCAGATGTAATTTCCACCCACAAATTACACGAACTGAGAGCGCAAAGATCCCTGCTGGACAGTTCCGCGCTCTTAATGGTTCCTCGCGGACAGTTTCTGATTATTGATGCCGCGTCCAAAAAGAGACCGCTTCCGGGAGATTTGCTTGTGTGTCCATTCCTTTTATCGCTGTTGATTCGCTTGGCTGCCACAAAGACTCAGCCAAACCTATCAACAGGACCCTGCCCGGGATCCTCTAAGCGGATCCGGGCTTGCAGGCTACTTGCGAGCCGGAATCGTCTTCTAAGGTGGAGCCACAGCGCCACCTCGTGATCTTTGAGCTCCTTCGCGGCACTGACGCTCGAGAGAGCCTATTTCCCAGCGCTGGTTCAGGGTTCCCATTGACCATTTCTTGACTGGATTAGTAAGTTCCTCGTCTTCCCAGGAACACCTTGAACATCTTCACACTATCCACCCGCCACGGTTCAATTTCCAAAGTTACCTAAAGGAATCTTTCCCTCTAAGTTAGCCCATGGATATCTTTCCATGGTTTCCCCTCAGGATCATTTCACACTGTCCCCCCTAACCCCCCATCAAGGAACTACTGAATAATGTGGAAGACTGTTTTCCCAACATCTACCCAATCTGCAGCTTATCGAGTGTATGTGACGGAGTCTCTGATACAACGTATATGCTAAGTATACCACAGTCTCTCTTAGTCTTCCCAGAAAAGTCACACATCAAAACCCGATGATTTTTTTCTTACTTTGCACGTGAAGAAACCAACATCGAAGTGGGAAAAAAAGTGCCCAGGCAAGGTCACCTTCCAAAGTCGAGCCCAGGTCAGTCTATCTCATGCCAGAACACACGTTTAGCTTCTGCGTTTTGCGAACTCCATCAGCCCTGTGTGACCAGACAAGGCTCAGAATGGGTACTTGTATTCACGTAAACCCATTTCCTCAAAGAACTGAGCCAGGAAGAGAATTGCTGGTTTCAAGCACCTTGAT